TTGTTATTATATCAAAAAGATAAGGATGGAACCAGGCGTAAAAGAAAAGCCCTAGGCGCGAAGGGTGAACAGCCGTATTTAATCTAATCTACATGATATTGTATCGAGAGCTACTGGTATAAGCGCATGCCGTTACAATATGATTACGCGAGTGCACACGGTCGTTAGTTCGAGAGATCTCTTATCTGATTATAGCCGGTAGATGTTCTGACCGTGGGAGGCACCCAAAACCAGCGCGTCCTAGGCCTCCAACTTCTTGGAACGGCTATAGAAAGCGGCTACAGGCGCTCCAGGCTGTTGTACTAGATGATACCTTGGGGTGCTGTTAGCCTGTGCCGCAACGGACAACGAAAGCACCCCCCGCACCAGTAGACGTATACTATGTCCAACTCGCTGACAGTAGCGACCACAGGCACAAACACGACAGGGTATCGCGGATAAGACGGGAACAGCCCATGGTTGGAGACTCGGGAACGGAAATCAACGAACTACCGCACGCTCCGGAAACTAGAGAAATGGTGAAATCGTTTTTCTTCCTCTTGGGCTTTTGCTCGAGCGGATCAATGATAACTCGCGTTGATGCGTAGGTAAGGCAGGCCCACATTGAATCTCCTTTGCTAGTGGGCAGCACTATGTTCCTGTTTGTTTTATGGCGAGTACTTGGGTTTTCCTCGTACGTGTTGAAACTAAGGCGTTTCGACGATTAACGAACACATGTGTTAGCAGCGTCTTTACGACAGAGGGCAAGCAGCTGTCGCGAGTCTATCGGCGAAAATGGATACGTGTAATAAGAGAAGAGAAAGAATGTCAGGCGCAAACATCCAATTATAACGCAAACGGCGCAACTATATAATTATAAACAAATTTGAATTAAAAAATTACTTTTGCTTTCTTATACGACAAAATTTACATACACAACATATATACTAAAAATAAAATAAAATATAATTTACAATATATGAATCTTATTGCTACCCCACGCAGGTTATTTGCACGAATTATTATCATTTTGTTCATCGTCTGATTGACCTGTATTGATAACTATAGCTTCAATATTTTCTGTTAATTTTCCTCTATGATACCGATAAATTTATTATCTTATAAATCACAGTATACTGTTTTATAAAATAAACTTTACAGTATTTTTAAATACGTAGTAATAATAAGTGCAACGACAAAACAAATGTAAATGAATTTTTGAAAATTGAACTAAATTAAGTACTGCACGGAATATACGAGTATATAAATAATTTCGTAGAAGGAAGTAAAAAATGGTTAGATTTTTGTCATTCAAATTAGTTTGTAAAGTTAAAAGTTGAAAAATTACAGTTCATAAAATTTAATTATATTTGATTTTATAATACGAAAAATTATATTTTCATTCATAAAACAAGTCGTAAAAACTGTCAACTATGAATCATTGTTCGAGCTCGAATGTACGTAGTTGAAGTCGCCACTTGAGCCGACATGAAGTATTGGTCTTATTATAGCTGTACTTATATGCACAATAGTATACGCACAAATACGTAAAAATTTCATAAGTCAATACTTTCTTGAACAATTAATGTATTCATTCAATTTTTTTTCAAACAGATTCATTCATCTTTATCAAATCATAGATCTTCGACATAAAAAAAATTGTTAAAAATCACTATTTTTTCATATTTTATGTGATCAAATTTTTCTAAATTATTTTAGCTAGCTATAACTAACTGTATTTTATTTACAAAACTTTAAGTTTTGATTTCATGTAAGTTCCGTACTCGTACGATATTTTTGCTTAAGATATTTACTAAAAACTAAACGGACCTATCTATTTTTAACCAATTGTTGGTCTGTGGCTCCTTCACCGAAAATCGTGAAAGAGAAAACATGGGAGGGGAGACTGTATATGTGATTAATTCATAAGGCAAACAAGAACAGAGACCTACTGAACGTCACTCATTGTGTGATTTTATGACGTAGGTCAATCGACCTTTAAGTCGATTTATCCAGTACATACCAACATTTTTCATCAACATCTTATTCCCTATACAGAATAGACTACTGTTGCTCGCAAATTTAACTGTTGCAATTTGAAGAATAAGAATCTTCGAAACGCATTATGGCCCTTGAGTATATCTAAGCTATTACTGCTATGCACAGTTTCCTTTTCTACTTTCTATAATAGTAGTCGCACACTTACAGGATAGCGCAATGCGTTGTACATCAATCGCCAAATCTTGACTGATTGTAGCGTTTTTCCTACTATGTGTGATTTACTGTATAAGCTTCTTATACTTTTGTATTTTATTAAATACATTATTTTAGGTATAACGGTCTCGTTTTATGTCGTCGAAAACAAAACGATAAACCTGAAGATGCTTTGAATAAAATCGAAATGATTTAGTTATTCAATCAAAGTGCATAGTTCTGTTAAATTCGGTACTCCTTACGCAAAGTGCATCTTTCCCGCACGCTCGGCAGAAAACGTGCGTTGAAAATCGCACTTTCCACACGTCGTATCAAAAAATACGATACGGCACATGTTCGGGTAAGAGTTTCTCGGTTCGTGTACCTTTCCACCCTCGCTTTGCTCGGGCATAAACGCCACACGAGACAAGAAACTACTTTCCCGCACTTGTATCGTAATGTACTATTTCAGGCCTATATCGTAATCTATAATTTTGCTCTTTGAATATTGCAATTATGACTCTGAACGCTTAGAAACAAATAGCAAGGGAAATATTATTCGGTTTTACAGCTTATGTTTTTAAAAGAGAACTGATCTATTGTATACATTGTTTCGTTTCTTTAATACTTCTTTCTAGTGTGTGTGTGTGTGTGTCTGTATAGTACGTGGAAACCGCGAGTGTCAAATGTTATGAGCGTTGACACGTTTAAGCTTTCAAAGAATGAGACGAAGTCGTCTGGAAATTATGTGTACTTATTTGCCATGGATTCAGATTCGTCTTTAACCAAAGTCGTAAAATGAAGGAAAGAAGTGAGTGTGGCGCAGAGAATGAAATAGACCCTCAGCCACAAGGGCAGTTGAGAGTCAGTTTTTAGAGACCCTCTGCATAGTGCACAAACATACTTTTCGCCCTAGCATCTTTTTAAATATTTCAAATACATTTCAATTCTTTTTTTTTCTTTTAATTAATCACACACACACACACACACGCGCACGCACGCACGCACACACACACACATCTATCTAAACCAACAATCCCAAGCATACATATGCTTAACTTTTATATTGGTTTTTTTGGCCTACATCCTTGTAAATTGCTAATTTCTACATTTCTAAACTATGATGATCTATACATAAAGTTTACGTAGTTCCGGAAAAAATGATATATCTTCATTTGCTAAAAATTACTTTTACACGACTCAAAATAACAATTCTTTGAAAGAATTAACTTGAAATCACGTGCCACGGTATACAGAAGTAATCTAGGTTTGGAAAGTGTTGACTGTCATAATTCGAATTTTAGCCCGAAGAAATATAAAGTTGTTAACAAAAGGAACAAAAGAGATGTCGAAGAAAAAGGTAGGCGTGCTTGCGCTCCGCACTATATCGATTTCTACGAAGATCGTGACCTTTTCGAGGCCCAGCTGAGTATGGACTTCTATGGCGCTTGCTCACTCACACAAAATTCCGAAAAGAGGCATAAAAACGAGTTCACATAAAATATGAAATAGTAGCGAAGAACTCACGGCTTTTCTGAGGCTGCCAAAGGAGGCTTAAACAGATGCAAGCTGACTTTTGCCTTGCGTGTGAGAGCAGTTTAATTGCCGCTTCGCGTTCGGTGCTCTACGACTGACGTTTATTTCAAAGTGAGAAAATGAGCATCTGCGGGAGTCACACTCGTTAAAAGGAAAAACGAAATTATAATGTTGATCGCGATACCGCATAAACCAGTTTATTTGGTGTTTGCGGTCTCGGAATGCACTTTCATATCTTTCTTTTCTTGTTTATTGGTTCTTTAAAATATTATGATCACGCAGTGTTACTGAAATGTGCGTGGGTATATCGTAAAAGTTGCGATTTATGATGGCGTTTCTACATCTGTCACAACTACCGCAAAAATTCATGCGCGGTGTTTAACTATCTAAAAGTCATTTTTAAATATTTGCTATTATGTAAAAACTAGTGAGAAAAATTGAATTAAAACATTTATATAATTATTAAAGATAGAATTGCATTTTTGATACGATAATGAACTAATAACATCTTGTACATTTAGAAGAGTTAATTTTTCAAAAGTCTAATTAAACATTCCAACTCCAGAAAGGCGCTTTTTTCTGAATTGCCGCGATAATTCCAAAAAATCCGTACGTCTTACGGTTCCTGAATAACTTGAAATATTTTTAAGAATCATCTAGGCTGACACGGCAAAACCTTAAAATCCTATGTGTTTAAATTTAAACATTTTAAGTGTGTAATTGTGACGTCACCCATAAGAAATACATTGTCGCTGAATTTAAACGTTTAAAAGTGTTTAAAATTGAGGGCAATGTATTTCTTATGGGTGACGTCATATTAAACGTTTAAATTTAAACACATGGATTTACTGTGAACGATTAAATTTATTAAAAAAATATCTCTGTACGTATAAATATCTTTTAAATTTGTAAAGTCTCGTTGAATTTCTGCAAACATAAAAGCTCTGAAAAATTTTCAAAAGCATCTAGAAGTATTTTGAAAGTCTTTCAAAAGTTGCAAAGTGATCGTGAACTATAAAACGACGATAACGGCTTAATGGATTTACAAAAGTATCTAAAAGCCAGAGGAAGATGCAAAATTTATATATATACACACTTATATTCATTTGACTTGTAAGTGAGTAAGTGCAGTTTATATTACTGAATTTTTCACTTGTTAAATAGATTTTACTTAAACAGCCAATGTGCAAAAGTAAAAAGTAAAGTTTTGGTAGTGTCAAATGAAGCGCACTCGTGGCATGAATGTACGCAAGTATGTAAGTGTGGAAAAGAATAGAAAAATTTTGGCTTACCGTGATAAGAGGATGGCCTTTCGGGTGGACTGGAGGGCACCTTGCCGCCGATGGCGTGGCTACTACACGTGTAAGGAAATAGACTGTGGAGACCAGCCGCACTTGGTGGCGATACCATGCCCACGTAAGGCACTTGCCCAAAATACGTCGGGTTACCCAGTGAGTTTAAGTAGCCTGTGTAACGGGGGTAGTAGTACGGCGCGCCTAGCATCGATGCTTTTAACTGCGCCGTCGCTTGAATTTCACTATTTGCTGTTGTTTAAAGAGAAGACGATGAAAGAATTAAATTGTTTTATAATTAATACGAACACTATAAGCATTGATTTTTTAGTGTAGAACGAATTCAATTTCGATTGTTATTAATGCCATATAACATTATTTTTGCAGCTTCCAGTAGTTTTATGCTTGGTAGTGCTAAAGTTTCATCCCATTTTCGAAATGCACAAAATGAGTATAATTTTACTCATTTTAAAAAGCCATGGCTAACACGAACAAGACCTATAGGTCATGCACGCAGTCATCCGAAGAAAAACTTGGGCTAATAGCAAATGAGAAATTGAATTCGCCATAATACAAAGACAAAAAAGTAGCATGGACTATAGGTAAAAGTATTTAAAATTTATCATCCATCAAAGAACATTTCTTTCGTTTCAATCGATTTGCCAGCGTGCACGACTCCAAAAATTCCAAAGAGCTGTGGATTACTGCACTTCTAATTTAAACTCCAAAAAATTAGATGAGAGAAAGTAACTTTACCTGTACAGTCAAAGCAGCATTGTTGCATGTCGAGCGTTTGATGCGCAGCTCAAAGGGAGAGACAGAGAGAAAGAGGGAGTCAAAATGGCTGCTTGCGCTCGAGCAAGGCGTGGTTTTCTCATCAATATATACGTATATAGCGCACTTACATGTACATGTGGATTCTCTTTTCCTCGCTTTCTGTCTATTGCTCTTTCTTTCGTTCATGGCCATATCTTGGCGAAAGCCATTACTCTATTGGTATATGGTCATGATTAGCCGATAACTGTCGTTAACATTATGTGCTGAATGCGCGCGCATTAATAGACACACTTTTAAAATTTAATTACAATACCTCTCGAGTCGCAGTCATAACTTTTTTGCTTTCAAAGATCGCGTATGTACGTGATACTCACAATGAGTTTTACTGATGGGCCTATTATGTTTCACGGTTGTATGTATAGTCGTTGTTGCTTCAAAATAATGATTTATTAACGGAAATTAATAATACCTCTCGTATTTATCCAGCATAAGTAATGAAAATCTTTAACTTTTTTTAACAATAGAAGAACGAAAGAATATCTATCAAAATTCATATGATTTTTCAACTTTATTAATAGTATAATAAAGTCAACAGAGACTCTTCAATTCATTGCGATTACTTCATGCTGGTAAGTTACGGGAACAACGAATTTCTTCACATCCGGCTTATCGTCTTGTTCACATGTGCTTACGTCAAGTTTTCTTTTCGTTGGTATGCGAGTCTGTCACAGAGCTGCCTCAATCACCAGTAGTGGATAACACTTTGTATAAATATACGCGGAGAAAATTTTCAGGAATGAGAGTATAAAAATTAAGATTATGTCCGGACAATTTTTATGACAATCTCGTAAATATTTTGACCATCATCTTAAAATTTCCATATAACTCTAGTTTTTCACGAACTATGATTTTTCAACAAACTCATTATAATAAGCTTTGTTAAATCAAATAAATTAGATGATGGGTAGAGTATTAAATTCGTCACTCGTTGAAATTATTCGTATTTTTAAAATTGCTTTGTCAAAATAAAAGTATTATAATAATGGCGTATATGTCATGCGAACTAATAATAAAATAATATAGTTATCTCCTGTAGCTAAGAACATATGTTATACACGCGTATTCGTTGCACACGCGGGCCGACTGAAGTAGAAGACATAAGAAAGGCCGAAACAAACAAACTGTACGCGGTAAATACATGATAGACCAGAAATGAAATAGAACATAGACAGCTGCAAACCTAAATAAACAATTAAGCGATATGACTCTCTCGGTTCCCAGGATATACTTATTCCTGAAGGAAGTGGTAGGGACTTATCTTAAGTTTGTGAGCCCCCGAGAGGGACAAGCGCAGGCAGTCCTGTACACGATCTCGTCTTGTAAAGACATCTCTCTGGAGCTCTGTCACTTTATAATAAAAGTATTATTATATAACTGCCGACTTCGACGCCTAGATTCCTGCAAGTACCCACACGCGCCTTATAACTCGACTATCGCTACCGCAGCGTGTAAAACTTGCCGTGACATTCATCAAAATTGGATGACATTTGGTGGCAGCAAGGGTGGAATAAAGAAAAAACGGTTAGAAAAAAAAAAAAAAAACTACCAGTAGTATAATCGGACCGTTTAGTCAAGAGGCAGTATAGAGATCGCTCGACTCCGGATTATAACTCAGTTCCCAGAGAAGAGGACAGTCCGAACGCACATTCTCGGCTGATATTGATTGGTGCAGCAGTTCTCAGAGAAGCAGCCGACATCGTTCATCAGCCTACACGCACAAATCGTTGCCGATTCAGGAGTCTCGCAGTTGCCAGGGGAGCAGCTCAACTTCAGCGCACGTTGTGCTCACGGATATATTCAGTGCTACCGTTTTTACGGCCCAACAGGGAGGTCCAAAGGACTCAAGGTACGCAAAAATAAATTTTAATAAGTTCAAAAAGTAAAGAACTTATTGCGCCGCGTTATATTTTGTAAACTGAAGCCTATGATTGAGATATTACAGAGAAAGTTGGCCCCACTTTGTCTGTCGTATCAGTGAGGTTATTTACCTTTCAATCATAAACGCAGTCGTAATTAATAAGCTTTCACACGTGTACATTCACATCACTACACTCGCGCTTGAAAAATAGGTTAGACTTATATGCTAGGTCGCGATACTTTTTGTAACTATCGAACTGTCGATAACGAGAGTACAGACTCTGACAAAACTTCCGGAACACAATCCTTAACAGACGTAACTGACCACTCACACGATAATCAGCGACATTCAAACATTTACTTACGACCTTCAAAAATGGATGCTCTTAGTAAATTCACGAAGAAAATAAGCTCAAGCGAAGATATTACCGAATCAGATAAAGAATCACAGCTGAAGAAGGAGCTTTTGTTACAACGTGAAAAAAATGAACGACAGCAGGTGCAAATTGACAATCTATCGAAACAACTCAACGAGCTTATGCAAAGTATACGGAAGGATGAAGTAATAATACCGGCAGCGCGAAGACAGCAGGGAAATTCAGCAGTTGAGCCGCCTTTGCCTTCAAATAATATTTCCACGGGGCAAGATACGTCCACGCGACTACATGTTTACACAGGAATGCTTCGACGGGAAGATCATCAATTTATTCGTGAATTGTTGACTGAAATAAGGGAGTACGACGGATCAACTGACGTATCTGCATTTATAGATCAAATTATAAGAACAAGTAGGCAATTAGACTCTGATCCAGCAATTTCTGCACTAATTAGGAAAGTTTGTGCATCAAAATTAAAAGGAAGAGCCCAGCAGGTAGTAGAAAGACACCAGGTAACCACTGCCGTGCAACTGAAAGAATGCTTAGAAACGCACTTTGGCAAGTTAGAGCTTGAATACGATCAACTGTCTGAAATCAGAAATGCTATGAGGCAAAAATCCGGCGAGCCTGTAAAAAATTATGTATATCGCTATAATAATATAAACATGCGAATACAAGTTGCGATAGACGGAGAAGGTGGCGATTATAAAGAAATGCATCGCATTTATGAGTCCAACAAAGCGATAGAAAAATTCGTACGCGGATTATACCCAGAGGGATTACGACTCGCCGTCCAACAAAAAAATCCGCACACTCTTCCTATAGCATATCAACAAGCCATGTACGAAGAACAACGGAGAAATGAAGATGATAGGCTACGCGCTAAAAATCGTATCGATGCTACGTACGAATACGCCGATCAAAGAAAAGAGCGAGAGAAAAGGGAAAGTCGGCCTAAAGACAGGTATGCGCGCCCAAATAAACACTACTCCAAAGATAGATACGACTCAGCACCAAGGGAAAGATATTATAGTGATAAAAGGGAAGATAATCATCATAGTAGCTCACGAGAACAGTCAACAGACCGCTACCAATCTCGCGATAGAACGCCTCCAAAGGTTACGTTCGAGAAACAAGATAGGCCTCCAAAGCCCACGTGCTCACACTGTGGAGTATATGGCCATGATAAATCTAATTGTTATAGATTAAAAAATGCACAAGGCAAAAATTTTCCGAGACCAGCCTCAAGTCAACACTTGATGAAAGAAGAGAACGCCTCATGGACCGAGGACGACCCGCCACAATGCTTTTGGAACGACATGCAGACGCAATATATCCCTCAAATGGACGACACTGGCATCTATGGCTTAAGCCAACAGGCACAAGAGGACGAATATTAAAATTTTTAGTAGACACCGGAGCAGGCCTCTCAATAATCAAAGACTCAGTACTAGATAAAAAAACTTGTAATCCCATTAAACAGCCGATGCATGAGAGAAAAACAATTCAAATAGTGAATGGACCACATACAATGTACGGCCAATGCAAACTCAAAACTTTCGGAAAGGACTTTATTTACAATGTAGCTGCAGACTCATTTCCGCTTGACGCCGACGGACTTTTAGGCAGAGATTGGCTCAAAAACTATCAGGCTATAATAAATACTACAGACGAAATAATAGAAATCAAAGACGAACACAAGAACATATTAAGTTTTAAGTTTAATAGAGAACTCACACCGCTTCAACCTGGAATAAATATTCTTACTGTCAAAATTAATGAGCCGGACGGAGATTATATCATTACAGATCAAAAAAACATAGTGACGCCTGCAATTTATAACGTAAGGGATGGAAAAGCGAAATTAAGCTGCATAAATAATTCAGAGAAACAAGTCAATATATACACTGACTTACACATAGAACAATTCAAAGAAAACATTTCAATATTAAACAATAACATTCCTAACGACCAGAGGAAAGCGCTTCTACAACAGTTCTATTCTCAAGAAAGTAATATCTATGCAACGCAGGATAGGGACAAACTTATTACTGAAAATACACGGGTTTCACACCTGCCGCAAGAACAAGCCAATGCTATCTTAACACTTGTTAGAGCTTTCTCGGATATATTTCAACTTGAAGGAGATGCCGCCCCTTCACTCGATGACGTATATCACCG